CCCCAAAACCCCAAAACCCCAAAACCCCGAATATTATTATAACCTGAATAATTAAGATTAAAAAATTAATAATTTCAGTGTTCTATGGAAAAAGTAAGAGAATTAAATTAAAGTAGTTCAAATAATGAAAGCATCAACAGAGATGATTCCTCCAATTCATTTTAGTTAGAAGATTAATCCAATGAAAATTAAGACAACAACATGAGATCTTTCAAAATTGATGAAGATGATAATAGCCAGGATAATGATACCGAATGTCATACTGACTTTTTGACAGCTACATTAAACTCGCTTTAATATCCTACTTTTACTCAGTAATCTAAGACATATGGATCAAGTTCAAGTAAAATTGAATAGCAAACTCAATGCTTTTTGGAGAAGTTTTCGCAATCACAGAAATTCACAAATATAATTTAGAATAATCCGAATGATTAGCAGTTGAAAAAGAAAAAGAATGATGATTGTTATAGATGGGTTCAAAACGTAACTTATCAGTATCATTCGTATAGGACTGTTGAACATATGATAGCCAATTCAATTTAAGGCTTTCTGATATGGGTTCTCAAAACCTAGGGATCTATGTATGATGAGCAAATCATGCCTTATTTAAAAGATGTCTAAAAATGTATTAAAAAGCCTAATGGGACAGAGTACTCATCAGAAGCTAGAAGAATAATAAGAGGAATCCTAAATTAAAACACAAGATTATTTACAAATGACATATGTGGGAGATTTACACTAAATAATAGTGAGGAGATTAAGAGATACCTCAGTGAACAAATCATAAGATTCACTCGACTTAGAAAAGAGACAGAAGAAAAAGAAGGCAAGCCTATACCACCATATACGAATGACATATCTCTGCCCTGTAAAACAGCTGAGAGAGCTGAGGTGCTATTTGATTTCGAGTTCACTGAAGATGAAGATCAAGAATAGTATTTGAAGTAGATACTTGACAATATGAGTGATGATGATTTGAGAGTCACAGATTAATAGCCTCAACAACAGACAAATAACCCTGAAGATCCTTCTTACTTCAGTAACTAATCAACTGCAAGTAACCAACCAGCTAGTGGCAAAGCTTAACCCCTCCGAGGGCCAAATGGAAAGAAAGTCAATACAAATTATCAGTATGACAAGGCACTAAACTTATTCAGCTTCCTTGAAGATATAGTAGATAAAATGCCTCAACAAAGTATAAATAAAACTCATCAAGATCCATTGCTTTTTGTAAAGGACTTGAAGGATAAAGACTTGATAGAGCTTTTAAACTCCAAGGAATAGCAGAGATTCAAGGGAATGATGGAATTCTATTCTATTTTTAGGGACATAATAGCGCATGAAAGAATGAGTGACTTGCATGATAAGTATGGCAAAATGGCTAAAATGGCAACGCAGCTAGATGAAATGTGCAAGTAAGTAAACTATGTAGATGAAGCAATGAGATTTATTTCAACTCACATGCTCAGAGAAACCTCCTCCTTTATTAAAACTCCATTCATCGATAACAGCCAAAATTAATAGCTGATCTTTGGCACTCAACAAAAGGTGCCTGGAGGTGGCCACGTCCTTTCATCAGGCATTAAGATATTTAATAACAATCCTACCTCAAACGATTAAATAACTCAATAAAACTCAACTATACATAAAGGCGGTAGATAATCCAATTTCAATTTGAATGATTCTAATAAATTTAAAGTACGTCATTAGCAGAGATGACCATTTAATTTGATTTAATTACTTAATTTTACTATTTACTTGGTATTAATTCCACTTTTATTGATTTATCGGGGTTTTGGGGTTTTGGGG